ATGTACCCTATTTTTGAAACTCAAATGTTAGATTGGTTTATGACTGCTATTCCTTTTCTTCAGATTTATTGTTGTCACACCTAGTTCAACCTCAGGTATTTTACTAAGCTGTGTTTATTAATTTGGATTTGTTTAGCTTTGTTTCATTAGGAGCTGAGGTAATATTTCTTTCTTACTTGAAGTCATCTCTCTTCTCCCATTATCTTTCAGTGACACTCCATATTGGTGAGGAACAGTGTCACTTTTCATCTCTTGCTTCCTTGCTGGTGTGACCAAGGCCCTAAGTGTGAAAAAGAGAGGGGTTTAGTGATGGTTTAGTGATTCTCCATACGCTTTTCTGGCTTAGGTGTTATGGAAATGGATGTTGCTATTATGGAATTTCTGAGGTGTTACACTTTTTGGAAAACTTGAATTATTACAAGTTTTGAAAATAACATAAAAGTATTGTGTTTGCCATCTAAAAGAGAATATCACTTGAAACTTCCTGCTGTTTTGTATTAGAATCTGTGACCTAAGTTATGTAGTTGACTGTTATTTCCTTAAGAAATGCTATATAGATTTATTCAGAGTTGGCAATGAAGATCTTGTAGGCTCAGTTAAGAGCATTATATATGTTTAATTCTTGTTGAAACTTTAGTAAACTACTAGTATTGGATGTTGATAAAGTCTGGGATGTAGTTTTTTTTTTGTTTTTGTTTTTGTTTTTTTGTCTTTTTTCGTGACCGGTAACGGGATCGCAACCCTTGGTGTCGCGCCCGTACTGCGATAGGCAACGGGATCGCAACCCTAGGTGTCGCGCCCGCACCGCGCTCAACCAGTGAGCAGACCTGTCTCTATATGGGATCCGAACCCTCGGCAGGAGCGCCACCGCACTCCCAAGCGCCACACTCTACCGACTGAGCCACCGGGCCAGCCCTTTTTTTTTCTTTTTTTTTTGGCATAGTGAAGATGTCCTTGAGAATTATGTAAATTATCCTATGTTTCCAGACTTTATGGGCACCCTATAGTATGAATTTTCAAATGGGCTGTATAATAGTTATTATCTTACACAAAGGGAACAAAATCTTGGGAAATACTCGTGTGACTATTAAGGCAAGTATTTAAGGCTTCCCATGATCTCTTAGTATTCCTTAATTGGCAGGATCTTTAAACTGAACTTTGTAACTCAAAATAATGTAGAATGGTCAGTATTACATTGTCAACTAATACTTCTTAGCTGTTTAAAAAACTCATTTGGGGGAAGCTGAGGATATATTAATTCCTCTGTCAATGGTACTTCCAATTTGCTTGGGGAACATTAGGTAGTATGTTGAATTATGTCCTAAACAACATCCTTACATTAAATATAGCAATGAATTTGTTTGTTTCTTATACCATTGCTTCATGTAGAATAGGGAGGGTGTAATGGAATTTAGAATCTAGTTGATAGATAATCTGATAAAATATTCAATTATCTTCTAAACAACAATTTTACTTTAAATACAAAAGTGAATTTATTTGATGCTTATAACATTCTTCCATGTGGAATATGGCATAATACTAGAACCTACTTCAATTCTGAGGGAGAATGATACAGTTCAAATTCATGTTTATCATCTGGCATAATTCAGGGATAAATTTTAGAGTAGTTAAAGCAGTTTTATTGACACCTAGAGGGATCCATGAACAGGCTTCGTAGGGTTCAGGGAGAAGATCCTGGAAAACTTATGCAGTGTACCTCTTAAAGGAGGCTCCCAAAATTTTAAAAACCAATGCTAGAACAGTGATTGTTTTTTAAGCAGGTAAGGGTGGAAGTGGGCACATGTTGTATATGAGTATTAGGATCTCCAGAGAGGTAGATAATTAGAAAAATCATATTTGCTTTTATAATATATGTTTGTTTGGTGTGAGGTTGGGAGATTCCAGAAATAATCTACAGAAAAAGAACAACAACAAAATCTTGGGTATGAATGGCTAGAAGTTAGTGAAAAAGCATTTAGAGTAGGTCCTGATATTAGGTTTATCACATTTGCTAGTTACTTGTGAATGTTATTACTCCTTTTGCACATATTAAGTATTTTTTGTTTAAGGTAAGTATAAAAATTCATTGCATTTCTGTGGTGTAGCACAAAGTATCTTCGATCCAAGAGAAAGCTTATTTTTATTATAGCTTCCGTCTAATTTAATACCCCATGATTTAAGAGTTTGCCCTAACTCTGCAGGCTAGAAATTATGGGATTTTGCTGCCAGGGCCACTAAATGTCGACAGCTCTAGGGGCAAGTTTTTCAGTGTGCAAGGAAAAGAAATTACTCACTTGGTGTCAGGTATGACTGTATCCTGAGACAGCCCTCTTTCCTACATGCCACCATCAGCATCTTTCAGTGCTTTGCATGTACAGCCACATGCTCCTGTTTTTTATATATCAACTTTTAGTAGTTGAAGTGGCAGCACAAATTCTAATAGGATCATTATGTAAACTGTGTTCGTATATTGCAAAGTCTGTGGTCCAAGTTGCCTAGATGGTTCTTCATCAAACAACCCTGACAAATGACAACTTGGATGACAGAATGAAAAATTGTACAGATATATTTAAAGGTGTCTTCTCCCTATCCATTATTATTTTTCTTCCTCCAAAAAGGCTATTTCTCTGTAGCACAAGAAATTGGAAATTACTAGAATATTGTTTGAAGATGGTTTATCCATGAAAATTTAATATGATAATAGTTTTTTAAAAAATAATTCAAAGAGTAAAAATAACATGCCATTGGAGAGTCAAGAGTTCTTGTTTTCAGTCTGATAGAACTTGGAGAGGACATTGAAAAAACAATTCTTCTCTCAAGTTTCTAGTTGATGATTTAGGCAAGTTTACTACGTATTAAGTTATTCAAAACATTAAATTATACTTAAACATTTATTTTCTTTTGCCATTTTATGCCTAATCTACCTGTGAAGGAAATTCTGTCTTACAACATATTAATGTATAGTCTGTCTGAAGATACTGTGGAAATGTTTTTTCCTAGGGCCTCATAGCTTATCACAAAAACTGCTGATATATTTTTTAAGCTTTGGAATCTTCACAGTAGGCCATAAAGGCAAATTTATTATAGTGTGCGCTCTTGATTCTTCTGTATCGTGAGTTTGTAATCAGAATTTTTGTTGTGAGTCAAAGGAAAAGGCATACTTAAAAAAAATAAAAACTGCATTATTACTTGAATTACTTTCCATTCAATATTAATTGTTAAAGCTTTTATCAGCAACTTATGAATTCTGTTCAGCCTTACTTTCAAGGTAATTTTTTGTATAAAATAATGCATTTATGCATGATTATTTTCTGCCTTGGGAAAATAATAGTGCCAGTAAGTCAGTCAATAAATAATTATTAAGCACTTATCTGTGTTTGTGGCACTGGGGACTATATATATATTTTTAACAAAGTAGATTTTCTGGTTTTCTTTAAGTTTAAAAAGTTTTTCTGTGTGTGTGTGTTTGGGCAGCTGGCCAGTACAGGGATCCTAACCCTTGATCTTAGTGTTACCACACTGCTCTAATCAGCTGAGCTAACTGGCCACCTAAAAAGTTTTCTTTACTGAAATGTATTATTTGCCTGGTTAAGTATATATTTCTTTGAATATGTGGTAGTCAAAGGAAGACAACCTTGGCTCAGTATATGAACTGAAGGACAAATGTACTAGAATTTTTTGGAACGTGAGAGAAAATATTAACTATGTCAGACTTTGAAAAACAGTAACTTTAAACAGAGATTTTTGATCCTATAGTTAGATTAAACCTAAAATGTTAATGTCCGGATACCAACATTATTGCCCTTGTATGAAATACTTCAAGCACCTGACAGCCAGAATCTTTGAATTGATACTTGTGAATTGGTGTTAAAGGTTTCTTCATTTTCTTGACTTAAGATCCTTATTTTAAAATGATTTTAAGGATCAAATCAAGTATAATCTAGTCTTTTTGCAGAATGAAATCATTCATTGTCTTGGCTGAAAATCTCATTTAGAAACTTGTATGCATGTTTGTTAGGGATGGATTGAGGATTCTTTTCTCACCAATACTCAGGTTTCCAAGAAGCGTTTTTAGAGAATGCAGTTTTGATTTAGTGTCATATGTGATTTACAGGAAATTACTTTGAGTGAAATATTTAATCTCATTATACCCAGAAGTAGAACCTGCTTTGCAGCCATAATTCTATTTTAATCAATATATGTTTGGGAAGTCAAAGATACATTTAATCAATATTTATTGAATCAATATATGTTTTGTTATGCTTCTGGCTATGGAAACAATAAGAGCAATAAGCTTGATAGTAAAAGTATTCTTCATTGTGCTTACCTAACTACACAGATTAGAAAAGCCTGTGGTAAGAAAATATTTGAGGAACTATTCTGTTCCTCAAAATGTGTTATAGATAAAATGGTTGAGAAACGTTGACCCAACGGAGTAGCTGAAAAATACTTTCATAACATAGATTCCCAGAATTATGATGGGAATATAGTGTCTTATCTCTCTTATAGATGTGGTATTTGAGAAATATTTAAAACGGTAGGCTCAGTATATCTAGAATGTTATATGTTATTTGGTATTTGGTTTTTCATTAGTACAGAAACCCTTTTGTTACATGTTTCAGTTCAAGTCTATAGATGTTGACAGTGCGTTTTCTAGAGCCCTTCTTTCCTGAATTTGCTTTTTCCTTCCATGCAGCTTTTCAGAATCATTAAATGAATTATTTTTACTACAACAGTACCTTATTTATCATTTTGTTTTTTGTCATTGAAGCCAGTTTTGCAGTATTGGAAGTTAGGGGACTGGCAGTGGAACCGAGTGTGTAGAGGAGCTAAAGTAGATTCTTTAAAAATGCCATTCCAGAGATGATGGTATTGAATAGTCAGTGTCTGAATATTCGTTATCTCAGCATGAGCAGTGTTTTGTATTTGTACAGAATTTATGATTTCAAGAATTTTACCTTTCTATTTCCTTCCTTTCTCACTTTTCCTTTTTTCATCAGTGTAAACCAGAGTACAAGGTACCCGGACTTTATGTTATTGACTCCATTGTGCGGCAATCTCGACATCAGTTTGGTCAAGAAAAGGATGTGTTTGCACCCAGATTTAGTAATAACATCATTAGCACTTTCCAGAATTTATACCGTTGCCCTGGGGATGACAAGGTATGCTGCTCTTTACTTTTATTTTTTAAGGAGATACATTGTCCTCTTGGTCTTCAGATTATCTTAATATATGGCTTTATGGTACCTTTTACTCATAGTTTTTCCAAATTTGAGTATTTATTACAATATCCATGTTTCTTTTTCTTCTTAGAATGTCTTAAAAAGTGGAACGATGTCACTGAGTTTGCAACTTTTTAATTTATTGAAGCAATTGGTGTTAAAGAAACTGGCCGAAATAAGCTTTTGGAATTGCACTAAATGCTCATTTATTCATGCATGCAACCAATTCAGTATTGTGATTATTTGATCTGAGCAGACGTTTACCTTTTTAGTGTCTGTGAAAAACAGATTTGCCAAGCAACTCATAGAAAATCTTATATCAAAATTCTTCTGTTAATGGTAGAATTGTATTAGTGCTAGAAACCACACTACTAGGTTTTTTAGACCTGAATGTTTAAATATTCCATAATTACAAAGCAAAAAGAGCTTCGAATCCTGAGGGAAAATTAAAAGGAGTTGTTTATTTTCATATTTGCTCTGAGATGTTAGAAGGTTACTTATTTTGGATGTTGATTTAGAAGTTTAGGTGTGCTGGGCCGGCCCCATGGCTCACTCGGGAGAGTGCGGCGCTGGTAGCACCGAGGCCGTGGGTTCGGATCCTATATAGGGATGGCCGGTGCATGTGCTCACTGGCTGAGCATGGTGCAGACCACACCGTGCCGAGGGTTGCAATACCCTTACTGGTCAGGGAAAAAAAAAAAGAAGTTTAGGTGTGCTTTTCTGACAGGGTTGATTGCAGTGTTAAGTAGGAAAAGATAAGATGAAGACTAATGTTTGCTTTAATGAAGAACCACAAAACTTAAAAGCTTATCACAAATCCTTCACCTTATCTCAAGTGTAACAAGATTAGGTAGTTTTTATTTTTAAAAATTTACGTAGTCTTGAGTTACAAAAATTCTTGTTATAATGGATAGGTATGAAGATAAATTTACTGTAGTATACTCTTTGTAAGCTATTCTTGGATATACTTGAGACAGAAAGTTTTTTTTATTTTTAATTTGGTAGTTTGATAATTCTGTGCCGGCAAAAAGTATGCTTCTGATTTTTTTTTTTTTTTGTCCTTTTTGAGACTGGCCGCACTGCGCTCAGCCAGTGAGCGCTGTGAGCACCCCAGTCATCCCTATATAGGATCCGAACCCCCAGCGGGAGCGCTCCTGCACTCCCAGCGCCGCACTCTCCTGAGTGCGCCACAGGCTCAGCCCATGCTTCTGATTTTAAGTCACCTATCTTAATTGATTCTTCAAGTGTGTACCTGAGAATCCTACCTAAAATTTCAAATGTAAACCGTTTTTAAAGTAACATTAAACACTTTGATTTAGAAATTTCTTTAGTTTAAATTTGGGTTTCCGTCAGTTAAAATGAACAAATCAGTCTTGAATTTGTAGATTTTGTGATATAATATCTCTCATTTGTAATAGAGTTTATGGAATAGGCCTTTTTTTTTTTAATCATAGGAAATATTACATTAATAGTGTAATCTCAATCATAAATGAGGGGCATTATTTGCATGGAGATAAAAAGAATGATAGTTTTTAGGTACTGGCTAATTTTGAAGTACATGATGAATATCTTGGAAACTGAGAGATTTTTATAATGCAAGAGAACGTAAGGCACTTTCCAAGTGCCCACGTTTTAGAAAGGAGAAATAGTCAAATTAGAAGGTATGAAGCATTCTGGGCCGAACACGTGGCTCACTCGGGAGAGTACTGTGCTGGGAGCGCTGAGGCCGCAGGTTCGTATCCTATATAGGGTTGGCCGGGTGCACTCACTGGCTGAGCACGGTGCAGGTGACACCAAGCCAAGGGTTACGATCCCTTACTGGTCGCAAAAAAAAAAAAAAAGGTATGAAGCATTCTTTATGTAATTTTCTTATGCTTCATTTGAAATACAAAAAATGGCACATTAATGTAGTTTGGACATAACTTGAAATATGTCACTATAATATTATGAGGTTTTAAAGGTGAACCAGATCTTTATTCTGAAAATTGCTCTTTTACTATTACTGCTTAACAGAATGTTCTTTTTTATACTTAATTTCAGCCTCTGTCATTTAAATTTTTTCCCAGATGGACTAAGTAGCATCATAATAGTAGTAACAAGTACTTGGTGCTTGTTTAACGAACTTTCGTGTGCCAAAAAATTGTGAATCAAATTGTTCAATGACAGCATCAAGAAAATACTTATTATATAATCATTCTGCTTTTACCAATGACAGTATGAATTCAGGATTCTATTACTGTGACTTAAGTGTATTTTCTGGGTAAAATGTTTGTATTTCAGGAAGCCAGGTGTAATAGGCGGACCTATTGGTATTTCTTACAAAATACTGTAGAACATCTTGAGACATTCTTTCCTGGGCATGTTTTTCTGCCTGTAAGTCTGAAGCCTTCAGGATTTATAAAATTTACAACCAGGGAAGACGTTTAAATAGGAATTTTCCTAGTTATCAAGTTCTCCCTAAATACTGATAATTATTAGATTTCAGAATTACCCAAGAAATAGAAGTCATTGTAACACATTTTTTCAAGTTTACAATAGACAGAATATAACAGAATTTGACAACTAAATAGAATTTCATATGAAATCTCTTTTGGAGCCAGAATAGGGTACAAGTAATTAAATAGAAGTGCTTTATAGTGTTGCTATAAGGAGATCTGTAACTAATAGATAAAACATATCCCTGTCTCAAGATGCTTAAAATTTAGGAGTGGCTAAGACATTCAAAATACTAGCCAGCCTAAACAGTTTGGTACAGTTCGAGATTGAGAAAAGGGACCCGAGAAGCCTTCTGGTATACAGTCTCACTTTATAAATGGGGAAACTGACTTTTTTGTTGTTGTTGATTTGTTTTTGTTTTTAATTTATTGACATAGTTGGCCTAAGACTAGGGTAACCAGAAAGGTTATAGAAGTATATATATTCATGACTTTTATAGAAGCTGCATAAATATTGTATGACTGACTGGAACCTTACCAAGAATCCAAAGTACTCTGAATACTTAAGTAATCCAGAAAGGGGTTGAGACTAAGACAAAGATTTGATTTATGTGGTGGTAAGGTGATTAGAGTGGGGATTCGGACAGGCAATGTTGAGACTCTTTAAGGGGGATAGTAAATTGGATGCAATGCTATAGTTAAAGGGCTTGTCAGGAAGAGAAAATAACTGAGGTGTTTCAGAGATGTCAGGTCCACTTACCAGTAGCAAGCAGGGTTTTGTTTTTGTTTTTTCTTTACAGAATGGTAAAGGACTCAGATTATTGTAAGAAATGAAATAATGTGTAGAGCAGTATTTGTACAGTGCATGATTTATTATTCTGAGAGCCAGATAAAGTAATGCCAGTATGGCATTGACATTCTACAGCTGGGGGAGAGGAAGTAGGAAAGAGTAGTGAAAAGAGAAGAATGAAGAGAGAAGAAATGAATAGATTTCAGATTCTGTCCCTACAAAAGTTTGTCTATTTCAGGTCTAAAGTATCAGGAGGGGATTAGCATTTATGGCAAGATGCTTAGAAAGGAAGTAATTTGGTTAAATTCTTTTAAGAGATAGTTTCCTTCCCTACGCTTAAGTAGTGTGTAAAATGAAATTTTTTTCAAGTTACGTTAGATAAGGACTTTGTCCTGAAGTTACTTATTTGTTCAAAAGATAAACATTGTATAAGACAAAATTAAATTGTAAATATAACCTTAGTATTGAGATGAATCATGATTCTGCCTCAGAATCCTTAAGACAGTTCTCCAGCCAAACATACCATCGATCTCATTAGAATTGACAGAAGATGAAGCCGAGTTGTCCTCCCTGCCTTCAGGTGAATGTAACTTTCATTTACCTCGTATATCTATCAAAATTAACATGTTTTCTCAAGTGAGTTAAGATCAGCAAATGCAAAATGATAGAAAACATAGAATTTTAGGGGTGGAAAGTACCGTAGAAGTATTTTAATCCCTCCTTCCCAAACAGTGCCCAAATAGCTTCTGTATAGTGACTTTGCTAAGGTTTCAAAAGCAAAAAAATTAAAATGTCACTTGTCTTTTTTCTCTAGAGTAAAATAGTGAGAGTATTAAACTTATGGCAGAAGAATAATGTATTTAAGAGCGAGATTATTCAGCCTCTTTTGGATATGGCAGCAGGAATTCCTCCTCCAGTTGTCACACCTGTTTTGGCCAGTTCTACTGCTGCTATGAGCAATACCCCAGGTATGTTACTTTAATGTAGATTTGTTGTCTAAATATTCTATTCACGTGTTTCAGATTCACATATAAAACAACAATTTGATAGTGCAGAATTTGTCCAGCATTAAATACTTGGGGAAAAAAATATAATTTGATGGGAAAAGTAAAATCACATATTATATTTGTGTATAATTGTTTCTAAAGTTTAGACAGCTGATCTTTTTGTGATGTCCAGAAACATAAATATAATGAACTTTGGAAAATTGGTATGTCAGTTAGGTTTTTCCTGATTTAGACTATAACCTCTTAAACTTGCATGTAAATCAACTTGATATTTATAGGATACTAGGGGGAACTTAATATTTATAAAGAGCACTGAAAAAATTATTTAATAAGACCAAGAGTGCTTTAGTATTAATCTCAAAATTATATTTTCTTGAGGTACTTAAATGACATCATAAAATTTTTATCATTGTCCCAAGAATTAAATTTGTTAAATATTTAATTTTTGTTGCATATATATAAACACAGTTTTAACAAAAATGGTTTTATATTATACATACTGTTTTATAATTTTTTCATTGAAGATTATATTTTAAATATTTCCTCATTATTAGATTTTCTTCTCTGGTAATATTTTTAATGGCCGCTAAGTATTATAGACTTTTTAAAAGTACTTACAGTAGTCCTCCCATCCGTGGTTTCACTTTCCATGGTTTCAATTACCTACAGTCAACTGCAGTTTGAGAATAGGAGAGTACAGTCCAATAAGATATTTTAAGAAGAGAGAGAGAATGAGACCACGTTCACATAACTTTTATTACAGTTTATTGTTATAATTGTTGTTAATCTCTTAATGTGGCTAATTTAGAAATTAAACTATCATAGGTATGTATGTATAGGCAAAAACACAGTATGTATATATAAGGTTTTGTTTCATGGTTTCAGGCATCTACTGGGGGTTTTGGAACATATCCCACGATGGTAGCTTAGTTGAGGACATGTATGGACAGATCCTTTTGGTTTTGTTTGTTTTGGTTTTGGGATTTTTTTAACCTACCTAATTATGTAAAGGATTTAAAATGGTTTTTCAGAATGGAGACAATAAAATAAAACCAGTTATATAAATTTGTATATATTTTATGAAGGTAATAGAACAAATCCCTCTACTTTTCAAGTCTTATTTGCTTATTTACATATTCGGGGGCGGGGGGGTTGTTCTTCCTTAAAGGAACGCCTGTGACACCTGTTACTCCTGCCAATGTGGTCCAAGGCTTACCTGATCCATGGGTATCTCAGATAACAAATACAGATACCCTTGCAGCTGTGGCTCAGATCTTACAAAGTCCTCAAGGCCAACAGGTGAGCAGCTTTTCTGTTATGTTGAAAATGATTTAGAATTCATCATTTTCCTAATGTATTGTCTCATAATATACTACCTAGAAAGAATGTATTTAAAATGGGATCACAGTATATATATCTCTGTAACTTGCTTTTTTTATTAGTAATGCATCATGAACACTTATATGTCATTAAAGGTGGTTTTATAAAAAATTCATTCTATGCCAAAATGTAGATTTAGGACATAGTTTGTGCCAAACATTGTTAGGTGCTATTGCTAGCCAGTAACAAGACAGAGTGGTCTCTTATCTTGGAGAAGACCTCTTCCTATCGCAGGGGAGACAGACAATAAAAAAGTATGACAAAATCATTTTATTTATTTATTTTTTTTTGAAAAAGATGACTGGTAAAGGGATCTCAAGACAGAGTGGTCTCTTATCTTGGAGAAGACCTCTTCCTATTGCAGGGGAGACAGACAATAAAAATGTATGACAAAATCATTTTATTTATTTATTTTTTTTTGAAAAAGATGACTGGTAAAGGGATCTTAACCCTTGGCTTGGTGGTGTCAGCACCATGCTGAGCCAGTGAGCCAACCGGCCATCCCTATATGGGATCCGAACCCGTCGCCTTGGTATTAGTACCGCAGTCTCCCGAGTGAGCCACAGGCTGGCCCACTGACAAAATTATTTTAGATAGTGATATATGACTTTAAAAAGAGTAAATTTATAGACAGACTAGTTTTAGGGGCGGGGGTCAGAATTAGAGTGGCCAGCCAAGAGAAGGTGTCTTTGAGGAAGTAGCATTTGAATTGAGACTTGAAGTAGAGCTAGTTATGGCAGAAAAGGAAGATAGGAAGTGGACAGAATTGCAAGTGTAGAGGTCTTGAGATGGAAGGCAGTGTGTTATATTGTAGGAATAGAAAGAAGACTTCTGTTCTGGAACATAAGGAATAGAGGAGAATCACACATGTATGAATCAATATGAGGAATGGGAAAGATTGATGTCTTTAGAGTATCAAGTCATTCCATTGTACTTATACATACTGTTTTAAATCTTTCGTGTCTCTTAGTTAAGCTTTGTAGCTTTTTAAGTGTAGATTCTTCACATTTCTTAGATTTATTTCTATGAATACATTTGAATAGATTTGATTTTTGTTGTCAATGCCAGTTTCCTATTAATTTTATATTTCAGTTAAATCATATTTTTTGCAACTGTTGATAATTCTGTATTCTCAATTTAAGTATTTATAATATATATTTTTTTCTTATTTTATTGCACAGGCTGTAAGTTCCAGAAGAGGTTTTAACAGAAGTAATGATAGCACTCATTCTTACTTTTTTTCAGAGTCAGATAGAAATGTCTCTTTCATTTTTCACTACGATGTTGGTTTTACTTTGAGATATATATTCTTTATGAGGAGCATATTCTGCATCTCCTGGGTGATAAGTGTTTTTATTGGGTTTTGATTTTAAATTGTATCAGCGTAGATAATGGTAGTTTTTCTTCTTTAACCAGTGCATATATTGAATTGTATTACCAGACTTTCTCATAATGATTTATCATTGCTATCCTATACACACACGTGTAAAAATACATGCAGGTACACTAATTTAAGGCAATGCATTTAAGTATTCTGTAATTTTTGTTTAGCTTTGACATGTAAACTCTTTTGCAGCTGGTTTCAATTTGTAACTATTTGCAACTACTTTGCAACCCTACAGAGTGAGATGGGTCTCTAATTTTATCATCTTCCTCAGGGGGTTTTTTTGTTTTGTTTTTTTGGTTTTTTGTTTTTGACCAGTAAGGGGATCACAACCCTCGGCACGGTGTCATCCGCACCACGCTCAGCCAGCGAGCGCACCAGCCATTCCTATACAGGATCCGAACCCACAGCCCCAGCCCCAGCCCCACCAGCACCGCACTCTCCTGAGTGAGCCATGGGGCCGGCCCTCATTATCCTCAGTTTTTAAATTGGGGTTATTTCTTGCTTGTGGGACCAGTTCAGAAATGTTTATCTTTTTCTGTGTTCTGAACAATACAACCTAAGTGCTTTCTGCCTCTACAGGGATTTTTTTTTGCACTGCTGTTATGGGGACCTGAACCCTTTGTGCTATAACACCGTTCTCTAACCAACTGCCTCTGGAACATTTTAATGAACTTAATCAGGGCCTGTTGTGTTTTGGGAGGTTATCATTTAATAACATTTTCAATTTCTTGGTTATTTTTATTCACTTATTTTACCTTTCTCCAATAGACTTTAATAATATTTATGATTAAAAACCATTTTGTTAGTTTTTCATAGTTCTACATAATTAAAAAAAAAAAATCTAACCTTGGGATGCACATCTGATTGTGTGCTGTGTTTTTCCTCTTTTTAGATTTATGTTTACTGGAGTTTTTGATTTCTTTTTCTTTCTATTACCATCCTAGTTCTTCGTTTTTGGACTGTTGATGTAATCTTCTAAATAGCATTTGGTCTCTATTATTTATTAATAAAATAATAAAATCATTTTATTTCTCTGCAAGATTATTCTTTAAAAACGGCCTTAAATATCTTAATCCTGTCCTCAGAAACATGCAGTAATTGCATGTTATACATAGAATAGAATTTAACTTTGTGGCATTTAAAGTTAGTTTCAGTATAACTTGTTCCTTTTTCTTTTTTTTTTTTAACATTTTTTAGTAATGGTTTATAGATTTCTCTAAATTAATGTCAGTATTCTCTTTGCTCATATTGCTTCCCCTTTTCTCATCTGCTTCTCTGCTTGTTTTAGGTCTCACCTATTCTCTGCTTGTCTTAGGTCTTCACTATTCAAATCAAATTAAACATTTTTGGAGCTTGTTCTGATTTCTGAAGTCCAGTGGTATTGTGCCACTTCATTGGTGCTTGTTTTTTCATTCATTCAACCTTCAACAAACGTTTACTGGGACCTGCAGTCTTTTTTTTTCCTTCCTTTTTGTCTTTCTTCGTGACCGGCAACGGATCGCAACCCTCAGTGTCGTGCCCGTACCAGACCAGGACCGGCAACGGGATCGCAACCCTTGGCGTTGCGCCTGCACCTCGCTCAGCCAGTGAGCGGGCCGGTCTGTATGTGGGATCCGAACCCTCGCGGGGAGCGCCGCCGCACTCCCAAGCAGCGCACTGTAGCAGTGCGCCACCGGGCCGGCCCGAGGGACCTGCAGTCTTTGAGGCACTTAGCTTTGTGCTGGGGTATACAAAATAAGCAAGAAATATTATATGGCCTCTGGAAGCATAAAGTCTAATAGACTTGGTTAATTGGGATGCATAAATATAATCTGCATTAAAGATAATAAGAATCATGGGAGAAGTAAAAGAAGGGGCTTTGGAAATTCAGAGTTAGTATACTGCTTTGGCTTGAATAATTGGTTCAGGAAAAGTTCCAGTGTATAAATGACAATTTGTTTTTTAAAGGATAGGTAAGAAGAGATGGTAAGGATGAGCTATGTAGACAGAGAGACTACTGAGATTAGAAGATGAATTTCCACTCTTTCAAACAAATCCTATTTCACCTGCATCTTCATCTCAGTTAATGGAAATGCTGTCCTTCTATTTGCTCAGACTCAAAATGTTAGAGACATCCTTGATTTCTTCTTTCTTCCATTCTTCACATCCAATGTGTTAAGAAATTCTCTACACAAAATTGCAGTTAGATAGGAAAAATAAATATTATTGGTATACAGTCGACCCAGGAATCTATAATTAACAATGACTTACTGCATGTTGCCAAATGACTAGAATAGAGGAGTTCAAATGTGCACATCACAAAGAAATGATTAAGTTTTACAGCAATGAATATGCTAATTACCCTGAATAATCACACATTGTATACTTGTATTGAAATATAACTCTGTACCTCATAAATAGGTACAATCAATATATTCCAATAAAAATTTAAAGAAAAAACATTTGAGGAGTCAAAGAAAAAGAATAAATTGTCCTATATACTCCTTTAAGAGGAGGAACAAGTTGCAACTGTCATTTAACCTATACGGATCTATATAATCAGAGGTCTGAGAAGAGGAACAAGTAGGATACACTGTGCTTTTGTCGTCAACTACTACATAATGAATTTAATGAAGTTACTCAGATACTTGTGAAGTGAAATGAGAGTCCAGTGCATTTTCAACTGAAGTATCCAGTTTAACTATTGACATGCACAATATTTAATTTAATTTTTTGTTGCTTGTATAGTTGTGGATACTCAATGTAAATGAAAACAATGAATTTGGCTGCATTTTCAAAGCAATAACTTCATCTGGGAATATGAACAGTAAATGAATGTGGCAGCTCTCAAGAGGAAAGAAAGTTTTTTTCATGGATATCTCATTTCATATCATAACAGTATATATAACTGTTTAATTGAGCAACAATTTGCTTATAAAGCAGTTATCATATTCCTGGCACTGTGCTAGAGTCTATCGTTCCCATAACCAATAAGATAGTTTTTGCTTTCAATAAAGCTCATAATGCATTATTAAAAGATTGAATCATTTATGTTTAGTAAATTGAAATGTGTCTTAAATCTGTTAACTCAGTCAATGAATTAAAGTTCTGTGTGATAAAAGAAGAGAGAAAAAAGAAATTCTCTACCTTCAGAATATATCCTGTATTCATCTACTGCTCACCACTCTATCACTAGATCCTAGAGTCAAGCCACCATCTTTCTTACCTGTTGTATTGCAATAGCCTCTCAATGGGGCTTTCCACCCTTGCTTCACTACAGTCTGTTCTCAATACCTCAGGCAGAATGACCCTTTTAAAACATAAGAACTTATGTGACTCTTCTGCTCAGAATCCTCCATTGGTTCCCTGTGTCACTCAGAGTAAAAGCCCAAGTCTTAATCACTTCACTAGGCCTTGTATGTTCTCAGTTTGACCTGTCATTCCTTTCCCAACATTTTTTCCCAACATTTCCTATCACTGATCTGTAGATTTCTCTACACTAATAAGTATATATTTTTGCTCATGTTTCCCTCACCCCCTTTATCTTATGGTTTGCTTTACTTCATTACATCATTCCACCTGTGGCTTGTTCTACCCCAGCCACACTGGCCTTTTTACTGTTCCTTACCTGTGTTACTTAAAATCTTGTCTCAAGATATTTGTACTTGATGTGTCCTATACTGAAAACCTGCTTTCCCTAAATATTCATATGGTTTGAACCTCCAGTAAGTCTTTATTTAAATGTCTGTTTCCATAAGGCCTTCAGTGACTGCTGTCTAAAATTGTAAATTCTACTTTTCATCCCCTATACTCCCTCTCTCACATAGTGTGTTCTTTTTTCTTAGCACTTAATTGCCTTCTATTACATTACAGAATTAACTTATTTGTTTTTTCTCTGTCTCTTCACACTGGATTTTTGATTGTTTTTTCCATTGTTGTATCCAAGTTTAGGCTATAGTAGGTGTTCAGTATATTTTTGAGAAATGAATAAATGACATACAGAATCATAACAATGTTGGATATACAAAAGATATTTTAAGAGTTCAGTTATCCAAAAGAAAAGATAGTCTGAGTTATTAGTGACAAAGTGGAAATGGCAGACCTAAGAGAGACTTGGGTTTTGAAAGCCATAAATGGTGGACGGAGAAATTAAGTATTCATTTGCTAAGCAATAGGGAATTGCCAGAGATTAAGTTGAAGTCACATGATCTGAACAGTACTTTAAATGGATTGGCTAGAAGTCTAAAGATAGGGAAGATCTTTGTTTTGGTTATAGTTAGTGATAAGGAAGTGAAGTAATGACTGTGAAAAAATAGGAAGGTTGTATACTCTGAAAAGATAATCTCAAAGATGACCATTCTGGCCTTTTAAAAATATAAAATCCAATTTAATGTATAGTCTTAGGTTAGATCTAGTTTCTGCTTATTTGATACAGTTGGGAAACAATATGAACTGGATATTAGATGAAATTATAGAATTATTAATTTTGTGATATTTTAAAAATAATTTGTAAAGCAAATGTTTTCATTTAAAAAGATGTTTATTTATTTATTTTTTTTTTTTTGTCTTTTGTCTTTTTTCCGTGTCCGGCAACGGATCGCAACCCTCAGTGTTGCCCCCGCACCGGACCGGGGACCGGCAACGGGATCGCAAGCCTCGGTGTTGCTCCCGCGCCTCGCTCAGCCAGTGAGCGGGAGCCGGTCTGCATGTGGGATCCGAACCCTCATGAAATTATAGAATTATTAATTTTGTGATATTTTAAAAATAATTTGTAAAGCAAATGTTTTCATTTAAAAAGATGTTTATTAAAATAAATATTTTTGGCAGGAGAAGGAATTTTCCAGAAGAAATAGTACAAGAGAATCAATAAGACAGTAATTAATAGAATATGAAGTCAGAGTAGAGGAAGAAGTTGGATATTGCAGTGGATTTGAATGTGGGTGACCAAAAGAATAACAGTGATACTTGTAAAAATGGAGATGTTAAAAGGAGCAGTTAAAATGTATAAAGGAGAAATATGGCATTTCCTTTTTTTCCTCCCTCCCTCTTGACTCTTTTGCCATCCCTCCTTTCTTCCTCCTTTCTTCCCAGTGATTTAGAAGATTCATGTCTTCTTATATTTATTGGTTGGCCTTAGTCATTGTGGATCTTCCTGAGTGCAGTAATTTAACTATCATGTTTTTGTATTGTCTTTGCTGTCACATTAGTAGTTTTGTAGAAAATGCTTAGTTGATAATTAAATGACTTTAGTTTGTTTCCTAGTGTTGCTATTTTAGGTAGATATAAATTATTTTATTTACTGTCATTTTGTATGGTGTTTGTGCCTTCTACTATAAGTTGAACTTACGTAAAGAGTACAGATATCTTGGGTATCAATAGCTTTACTACTTTTATTTTTCTATTCTAAACTGATAATTTTGAAATTTAACTCAGGTTTAGAACTTGATTAATTATCATTTACTTCCGGGATGTATGTAGGGTTTTCTTATCTGTTAAATCTCTTAAAGATCTTAACTTATGTGTCAGGTTTTTTTTTTTTTTTTAATAGGGATGGGTACATAATAGGAACAGGGGTTGTGTTTTCAACTCTAGTTCACACTGTTCATCATTAATAACTCATTTCCTTAGTCTCAGACCCTGCTCCAGGGAATAATTTTCTTAATCACTCCTGCTTTCAGGAAGTGTGTTCTCAGGTGGTAAATCTGAACGATAGCAAAAGCTGCTGCTGTTGTCAGTGCCTGTCTCTTTATGGAGTTTTGGGAGTTAATTGAAGAAGGGATGAGGAGCTTGGTGAAAAAAATCAGTCAGCTTGTGATGAGTTCTTTATCTGGTCATGGTGCGACCACTTTGTTTTCTTAAAAGTCCTCTGACTTTCCAGAGGCAAAGCACACTTATTAAGGACTGTGTTGTCCTTGTACATGGAACACTCAAAAATCTTTTTTTTTCCTTTGGCGGCTGTCTGGTACAAAGATCTAAACCTGGACCTTAATGTTCTAAGGCTATGCTCTAACCAACTGAGCTAACTGGCCAGCCCCAAGAAAAATCTTTTTGAAAAATTGGCTGTTGTATTGAGTTAGTATGTATTTTTTTCTTGGTCTTCAAAGACTATGTAGAACTATTGATTTTACTGGCTAAAAGGCATAGATTGACATTGTGTGGATAAAACCCAACACCTGTTTTATAATTTTTTCCCCTCCAGCTTCAGCAGTTAATACAGACATTACAGATACAACAGCAGAAGCCCCAGCCCTCCATTCTACAGGCCCTGGATGCTGGTCTTGTTGTTCAGTTGCAGGCTCTTACGGCACAGCTCACAGCTGCAGCTGCAGCAGCCAACACTCTTACTCCCTTAGAACAAGGAGTCTCCTTTAACAAGGTAGACATTAAAATGTCAGATTGGTTCTATATGAAGGATTAAATTTTATGTACTATTGTGCAGATTCTAATTCTGTAAATTACATTTGGTAATAAACTTTTAATATTCACTGTATTGTGTAAGACATTCTAAATTTTACAAAAGGTTTAAACTTCTGAAGAAATCGTCATCTTAAAATTCCTCTCGAAACATTAAAATATTTTCTTTTGACTAAAGACAATTGGTCAGTAAAATAATTCTTCATTGAGGCAAGTGATTATTTTCTGAACTTTCTAAGTTATTTTATGGATGCTACAGTTTTATTAATTGTGTTGTTCTATGTTCTATAATTTTAACCTACTAACATTAAAATTGTCCAATATGTGAAAGTTCAAAGGAAAACTACAAGTTGTTACTGTACTGTAATATAAATTGAGGCCTAACTACAGAACAGCATTTTTTAAATTGAAAATCTTTCTTGTGTAATTTATTGTATGTCTTAAGTAGGCTTGTTAGTTATGGGAATATTGTAATATTCAGAAGTGGTATTCATATTTTTTAATTTCTGCTACTATTATTTTCATAAGAAAATAAATATCGATTTATTGGATTATTACTTGGAAGTTTTTGGCCAGTAGCTTACAAGTCTGAGTTGAACTCTAAATAGCTACACTATATAAATCGCCTTTAAGTGGATCATTTGGAAGGTAGTAGAGCATTCTAAGATAAGAACTGTAATAGGAGTAACTCCACTGATTATAGTCCTAGATGTTTTATCAAGTTTGTTACCATTGGCAAACCACTTAATATTTTTAGTTATTTAGTCGTTTGTAAAATTAGAGAAATAGTGTTTATCCTTCCTATATCATAATTTGTTCTGTTACATAAGGTAATATATGTCCTTTAAGGAAAGTGCTTTAAAGAAAAAGATCCACTCAAATAAAAAAGCTTTACTCTATAATAGTATAGGATAAAACTATATGAAACATTTACATAATAAATGATAGAGCTAAATTAGTGGGGATAATTAGCATTTAAAATAGCATTTGTAATTTATATTTGTGTTAAGCTCTTTTTAATTTCTCCCTTTCTGCCTCCCTTCCCCCCAGAAGCTGATGGATAGGTTTGATTTTGGGGAAGATTCTGAACATACTGAAGAACCCAAAAAGGAAATTCCAACTTCTCAACTGTAAGAATTTATGTTTTTCTTTATAACCATAGGGGTTTTTTTTGTAAATATTGGGTGGAATGTTGCCATCTGCACTACTTTGAATAAGTTGGGGTTATTATTTCAGGCTGTTGAGGTCTACATTACAGAAAGGTGATGGAGTTGCTGTCTTGTTGCCTCCTTATATTATTTTGACTTTCTCAAATCCTTGTAAATAGTTGGGATATATCAAAGTTTCCTGTTGGAAAGTTGGTAAATATTGGTAAATCTCATTGTGATAGTATCTATATCTCTATGAAGCTTTAAGTTATTTAACTCAATTGTAAGAATATTTGTAATACTAGGAAAGAAGTTTGCTTCTAATGCCAAAGGCCACTTCTAGAAAGTATACCGAATTCTGAGAGCACATCGAACTACTCAGAAGTAAGGATTGAGATCATAGTGATTTTGTTTTTTAAAGAAATGCATTGTGTGTTTTTATTTAAATCAGTGATTTTTTCTTCTAAACAATTCTGCAGAGCGCTAGGTTCTCTCCAGTAGGGAGAGGATGTTGGAAAGGGATGGGTAACAGTTGGGTGAGTGGAGGAGGGAAGATGAATGGTGAAAGCCTCTGAGACTTGTTTCAAACAAATTATTAGTTTTATTTATTGGGGTAATATAAAAAAATATATAATTATAGAATATATAAAATACAAATATATCCTTTGGGTAAGGTGATTTTTCTTCACAAAATTACGGACTACTAGTTTAAATTATGAATTGTAAAGTTGGAAGGAGCATTTCAGATCATGTAGGTCAGTGTCCTAAACAATGTGAGAATCTCCTTTAACTGTCCTAATAGGGTTATTTATCCAGAGTATTAATGCCCTCCATGACGAGAAGTTAAGTAATTATATTGTATGTTCTTTTGTTGGGCTGAATCCTGTTTCCTTTATTTTCCACACACTGACCCAAGTTTTGCTTTCTGAAATAAGGAAACAAATGTACTCCATTATCTTTTGACACATAGCCTTTCAGTATTTCAAGATAGGTATCATTATTCCCCTTAGGTTTATTTGTTCCAGATGAAGTACACTTTTTTCCAACCATTTGAAGATTCCCCACCATCCTGCTTGCCCCTTTTGGGGTGCCCTCTTTTTTGTTCATGTCTTACCTTTTTTCTTATTTTAAAAAAAGATGACTGGTAAGGGGATCTTAACTCTTGAGTTGGTGTTGTCAGCACCACGCTCTCCCAAGTGAGCTTACCGGCCATGCCTATATAGGGATCCGAACCCGTGACCTTGGTGTTATCAGCACCACAGACTCTCAAGTGAGCCACGGGCTGGCCCTTCATGTCTTACGTTGTGGCACCCAGAATTACAGGTGTTTTCCAGGTGTGAATTTCCCAGAGTATAGTTATTACTTCCTCTTATCTAAACACTGTTTCTCTTAACATACCCTAATAACACGTATGCTTTTCTCAAGGAAGCATATTAGTTTTATGAAGTTTAAAGTGAGCCACGGGCTGGCCCTTCATGTCTTACCTTGTGGCACCCAGAATTCCAGGTGTTTTCCAGGTGTGAATTTCCCAGAGTATAGTTATTACTTCCTCTTATCTAAACACTGTTTCTGTTAACATACCCTAATAACACGTATGCTTTTCTCAAGGAAGCATATTAGTTTTATGAAGTTTATGGTCAGTTATAGTTGTAGATTTCACACGTACTGATTGATAGACCATTCTCCTTACTATCTAATTGTTAGAGAAGGAGTTAAAGTGATAATGTTTAAATACTTTAAAATTTTTGTAAGGGTTTTTGTTGAGATTTTCTTAAAATGCTCCAATGAAAAGCACTAATTTTATATGTATTTAATAGCACAAAGCAATAATCTCACATCTTCAGCAGAGCATCTCTAATATGTTATTCGTCTGCTGAAATACTATTGAAGAATATATTTCTCCTTTAATGTATTAATGTTCTGAACAACTGCATTTTTGGTGTTAATATTTCAAAATCAAACATTGTAGGACAGTATGTTTTATATGAATTGGCATATTTTTCTTTGAACACTCAGTTATTTTCATATTATCTTTAGTTAATTAAAAAATATATTTCCATGTTTTTTCTTTTAGTTCTCATGTTTCAGAATCGGTGAACAATTCCATTTTTCATCAGATAGCAGAACAACTACAACAGCAAAACCTTGAACATCTCAGACAACAGCTCCTGGAACAGCAACAGCCTCAAAAGGTTTATAACCCCATCTTGTGGTCTTCAGAGTTATTGCTGTCTATGTTCTATAAATTGATGTTTTTGTGTGTGTTGTTTTGTTGGTCTTAATAGAGTATTTTCTTGTCTGTTTAGTTTTTATCAGGCACTTTATTTCCTTTCTCTAAAGTATAGTGATATTTCTTCAATTATTTATTACCAGGAAGATCAGTCTTTTCAGGACCTTTGTAATTTTTTATGTAATCAAAATGCGTTCTGGCAACTTATAAATCCACACTGTAGAAATTAATTTCAGTATACTGGAAATAGAGAACAGAAGACAGAAGTGGAGTTTCAGAATTATCACTTAAAATTTCATGTGTTTTCTTTTCTACTCTGTTTCCTATCAAGGAAGTTAATGATAATTGTTATTAATGATGGTAACAAAATAGATAGATAGATTTAACTTTAAAACTTTAATTGCTGTTACCATAGGGCAGGAACTTTATTAGGCATGTAATAGGCATGAATATATTTAATCCTTATGAGGTGGGCATTATACCTCCCATTTTGGTAAGTTTAGTTAGGAAGATTCGCGTGGTGAGATTAATTTAGAAAGTTCAGTGAGATTGAACATCTAATGCAGAAGTATATAGCTAATATATATGATCAGTCTTAAGACACATCATTATTTTATGTATAGCTAAGAATTTTAAAACACTTCTAATTAAAGTGTAACATTCCTTTGAGTTGTAAGAATCTTACACATTTCAGGGATAATGCAAAAAAATATTACACATTTCAGTTAAAAATGCAAAAAAAATTGTGCCTTTGAATTAATAGAATGTCAAGTTGCTGAGCTAGCATTAAATTCATTACAAAGCCTGTTTCTGCTCTATACAAAAAATAGTTATAGATATAAACTGTTTAGAATAAGAGTGTTAGGAAATCCTCCTCCCAATACTTTTTCTTAATAGTCAAAACTTTTTAGCATTAATGAATTTAACACAATACCACAAACATTTTTTAAGTGTAAGCATTGCATCATTAGGTATTCATACAAAGATGAACAGAAAAGAGGCTAATTGAGATTCTGGCCTCAAATAACCTCTGATGTGGCACGTACTTCTGTATGAACACGCAACAGAATTGTTTAGTTTCTGTAACAGAGGTACAAGTGAAGAACAATGGGAGTGTGGAGGAGGGAGCAGTTGTTTTAAAAGGAAAGGACAGCAAATGAGACACTGCTGGGAACTTGACGTTTTAATGCAAACAGTAAATACAAAATGGATATGAATTATATTGTTGCCTAGAATTATGAGAATGGAGTTTCTTACTTTATTTTGAGGAAATAATTCAGATAGGAGTGGTAAGAGTAGGGGTAGTATTTTTTATCAAGCAGATATACCTGCCTGAGACTCCAGTAAGTTGAAGATAGAACATAATGAAGAACATTGAGATGTTGTTTAAAGAAAAACACAAGTTGTAACTCAGAGAAAGGAAACAGGCTATTAGTGATAGAATAATACAAAATCACAGTGCTTTTACAAAGGCAAGTAGTAGTA